CCCCCCCGCACCCTTGTTGCCCCCTCCTCCCTTTTCCCCCTGCCATGCCGGTTGTACTTGTCAGGTCTGGGACTGGTGTACACAGGGGTGGAGAAAACGTTTCCCTGCCTGTCGTGGTTTGACAAGAAGAAATTTCTCACAGTATTTCAGTATCCTCCCGATTGAATGAGATGTCAGCTGACACTGTGGTAATTGAGAGAGAGCCAATGTGTCTGATCTGGAGGAGTGCGCGGTCCTGAACACTGAAGAATGTTGCCGGCCTCTTCGCTTTTCTTCTCCTTTGTTCACAATTTTTTTGGTTATTGACCCGCGTCAGCGGAATGGCGAGGGTTTGCTTATTGCTTCTCTCCTTCCGACTGAATACTCGTCTTATTGGTCTGAAACATCCTTTTTGTGGGTCTGCAGGAACACCTTCTAACTGTTAAGAGCACACTACACCTTGCAACAGAGGAGGAGACTGCAGCAGTCGCTGCACAGCTGCGAGGGAATCAAGAGAAGTCAAAGATGGTGCGTGATCCGAACGGCTTCCGGAAGCTGATCGTTGTGCTGACGCAACACGGGAAGCTGTTCGCGCTTCATACTGGAGATGGTCGTATTGTCTGGTCAAATCTCCTGTCCTCTCTGCAGCCTGACAGTGAAGGAGTGGTTCGAAACAGAGAATTCTCCGTCCAACCATTGAAGCTCATCTTGCAGAAAGTCCCTCACGGGCATATCAGGGAGGAGCCGCCGCTGGTGGAGGTATGGGAGAAGGTGGCGCTGGCAGGGAAAACCAGTGTCCAGACCACCATATCGGAGGTGTATGATGCTCACTCTGGCAAGCTGTTGTCAGTACAGGATCATCGTTTTGCAGTTAATCAGCTAGTGGCTTTGCCATGGAAAGATGTGTCCGAGAGCCGGTTATTGATGGTCATTGACGACGAGAAGCGGGTGTATTTGCACATGGACTCAGCCGAAGCTCGAGCTTGGTTTGAGAGTTACATGGACCAGGTGTTCGTCTATGATGTGGAGAAAACTAAGGGGTTGATCAAAGGGTATGGAGTTGTCAAGCCAGAAGGTGTGGCCAGTGATTGCATCTACCAGCTAGTGGAGCTCTGGGCAGTGTCATTTGCGCCAGAAGTGGAAGTGATTGATGAAGTTGCAGTCCGGAAACCTGATGAGGCTGTACATTTGCAGGCAAGAGTTCTGGGTGATCGCTCTGTTTTGTTCAAGTACCTGTACAAGAATATGATGTTCGTGGCAACAGTCTCCCCGGGGAACAGTGGAGCTGCGACAGCAAGCATGGGGCAACCCAAGCCTGAAGATGCAAGGGTGACTGTCTACCTCATCAACACCGTCACTGGCAACGTGCTTCATAGTGTTGTCCACGAGGGGTCAATGGGCCCTGTCCATGCGGTATGTCCTCACGCTCCTCTTCCTGGGCATGTGCCTGGATATGCCTGGGGTCTACCATTCCAAGTTCTAATGCAATTGGATGAACCTGGTCTTCCAGTTGTTGGGGCAGAGCTTTTGAGCGCAGAAGCCCATCCAAGACAACCGTAGTTTTAACCGGCATGGATGACTGGGCCCTGAGTCGTGACCTCTCCAGTAACAATACTGCCTTACCTCGCTGAGACCGAATGTGGTCAACTACCTTGGTGCTGCCGACCCTTATTCTACTTTGGCGTCTTTGACCTTCATTTCACTTTTGTTCATATTTCTCGACTTGTTTTTTTACGCTGTGTCGACTTGTTTTTCTATGCTGTGAGCCCATGCTTTTACATATCGTCAACGGATTACATTCACAGGCAACAAAAGCTGATTTCAATGGGTAGGAAGTGGTAAAAAGTTTGTGTTCCACTCTGTGATCTTCGTTTTTCTGAATGATAAAGCTACGGAGGATTGATGCAGATCAGAAGTATCGTGTTCGTCGATCTTGATATTCAGGGTGTAGAACATGGAGTCATTCGATTGAATAATCCAGCGCCAGGGTGGAGCAACAGGTCGACAAAGCCTCCGTGCTTGCTGATTTTTCTGGGTGATGTGTGCTTGTGACTCGTATGCAGGTGTTCAGTGAAAACTGGGTAGTCTATCACTTCTTCAACCTCCGGAGACAGAGATATGAGGTCTCCGTGCTTGAGATGTATGAAGAATCCCAGAAGGTATGGATAGAGATGAAACTATATGCAAGGCTTGCACCTGTTTGCCTGTGGGAATGAGATAAGCCTCTACGTTGGCGGAGTTGTACGCTAGTAAAAAGGACGCAGAGCTAGTGGAAGGAGTCAGCTTATGTTCCTCCTTGTGTTGTCATATATACCTTTGCGTTAAATATTCACGACTCACCTGTACAACAGGATGTGGTCCCTGCCCAGTACACTCCCGATTTCCAGGGACAGGCCCTGCTTAGGATGCGGCCCCAAACATTGAGGGATTGGAACATGATCTGCCCGGATTGCAGTTAACCCCACAAGGCCACATGGGGGGTCTGCAAATGGCTGACCAGCATCGTTTGGATGAACCACAAATTTTTGCCCCACCACGTGCAGACCACAAGGGTGATCTGCAAATGACTGACCAACAAGCAACCCAAGACATTTTGGGATTGCAACACCAACTGGGTGATCTGCAAATTGTTGGCTAGCATCCGGCACACAAGCCTGAGATCCTCACGAATCTCTGTGGTCTGACTGCAACTAATATCTGTCTTCACATTCTCCACCGCCCGTTTTATACCCCATCAGACTTCCTTGCAATCGCCCTTCAGCTTGATGCTGATCTCCCCCCCCTACAGCCAGATGATTGTAATTATACGAGGGAAAGAGGCTTTACCATTGCTGTTCTACAAGTAGCAATGAGGGACCACCAATTTCTGCTACGCAATGCTCGAGCAGGTGAGTGGTTTAATCCCCATCTCACGTCCCTGCCTGCATTGTTAATGGACCTGGCTGTTACATTGCCATTGTACATAGCTCTGACCACTGGGGGCTGTGGGACAACGGCATCATGGTCCATGCCATGACTGATGTTACTGATTTCTTACACAATGATGCTGTTTTCTTGCCACAGCAAACCGTCATCAATCTCTTTTGTGTCGAAGATCATTCCTCTGGCCCCATGCTGCAGCAGGAAAAACGTACCAACACTCTGCGACCTTCTCCTTTGCACAGCTACAGACACTGTTACACTTGGCTGTAGGTGCCATTGTCTCTGTCACAATCACTACAATGCCGTGGTTTCTGCATCTGTGTGTGTAGCGGACTGTTCCTCCGTTCTTGACTGCAGGCACCCTCGGCATCTGGACAGTATGTCCATTTTGCGGTCATGGGTGCTATACTGAATGCATGGTCTTTTGTGGTGAGCGTTCTTCCATCATTTTGGCCTGCAATCGACATGGCATTTGTCTTGAGTGTATGTTGGGCATGCTCAATGCCAGCCGTCGTGGCAATTGTTGTGCTGAGAATGCTCAGCTAGGTCTTCCATGTGTCCATCCACCTCATCCTTACAATGTGTGTCCTCTCTGTCGTCAAGGACATACTCATTCTTGGGCCTTTTCTTATCCTTACGATCCCTATTTCTAAAAGGGCCTTTACCCAATATAGGCCTCGAGCCTTGTAAAAATAAAGCAGCACGGGTTTTGAAAAGGTAAAGCATTGTGAAAAGGTATCTCGCCAGGGCTCAGAAACGTGAAAGCAGGTCAAAGGTCAAGTTCTCTATCAACAGGCACATCTAAGTCTAAGGCAAAGGGTATTGTCAAAGGACTTACCTGTTCACCAGGATCTGTGTATGTCGTTCTCTGTTCGGGTAAGAGTGTGTCTGTACGTGCAGGCAGTGTACCTGTTCGTGTAAAGGAAAGTGCCTGTTCAAGCAGTAAATGTGTCTGTTCGTTGAGAGTTGTGCCTGTCCGAAAGTAAAGTCAATAGGCACAGTCCCAGTTCTGGTCTAAGTCAAGGGGTTGGTCCAGATCCAGACTTTCAAGTCCAAATACAGGCCGAGAGGCCTCAGCAGCAGTTGAACTTCATTGGGACTCTACTGGGACACATGCAATGCAGGGTCTGGGACAAAGGACAGGYCGAATTGAGCTAATGCAGACCCGGCGAGGAGTGACCAGCACTATAAAGGAAGCTGCCTGCCTCATTCCTCGCCAGATCTCCACTGGCTGCAATGCGTGGAAGTGCTGGYGCACTTGTGCGCTGAGTCAGGAGGAACAGCGCTGGAGGTAGAAGATGCGCTGAATGCAGGAAGAAGCCTGTACGTTGGAGATGACGCAGCCATAGCTGCCCAGCGAGTTAGCATTAGTAGTAGTGGGTTAGTATGTAGCTATGCGTAGTATTCAGAGTAGATCCTCATGAGTGAAGGGTGTGTATGCATGKCAGGARGAAGGGACTGAGGCTGAGAGTGTTCATTCAAGGTTCGGCTATGGAAGATACTTACCTGAGTTGGATGTGACCTGCAGAGGYGGCGCTGAKGAGTAGTGACCACATTGATGACTTGGAGACTATCTGCAGGAGTAGTGCTGATTCACTGGAAGTCATAGGGATGAGTTGACAAGAGATTGGTGTTGCGYTGATGAGCGCTGAACTCAGGGGAACTTTGAAACACTTYGTATTCATATTTCTGATAATATAAGCTGTGAAACTCGGTCCTCTTCTTCTCTACCTTTGTCTATGGTTGAGACTATTGATCACTGCGTGTGAAGATGATGCATGACATGTACACATCTGCATGAGATGGTCCCCAGGACCCATGCAATTTTGGTATCGGAGCAGATGCTCGCTACTCTCAAATCGCTGGTCCGATCAAGGCCGGCGAGAAGAAGTGGTGATGGAGGAAGAGTGAAGGAGGGAGGAAGAGAAAAAGGGTTTGATAGTGGGGGAAGCAGGCCGAAGAAGAAGTGGCGAAGTCTACACACCTGGAGCATGCGGAGCGTCGTGGAGCACCATCGGCGGTATCTTCAAGAAGAGAGAAGCACCTCCTCTCCCTAAACCTGCATGCATGTGTGTGTCCCCTACCTTCTCTCTCTCTGACCCTCTGAAGGTGACTGCTGCTGATCTGGTCAGGGGTCAAAGTCTGGATCTGGGGTGTCATAGCTGTCAGGTCTGAGCCGTCAGAGTCTGATGACCCAAGTGTGATGTGTCAGAGACTGGTCTCACTAAAGTAGGTGGTCCAGCATTCTGCGAATAGGAGTAGGTCTCTCTCCTATCCTTCTTGATAGGCAGGCTGGGTATCGTTATCAAGAACCAAGAATCGATGTGGGAAATGGCTATGTGCCACGTCAGATAGCATGTACCAGGCAGTATAGGGATGATATTGAGTATCCCCCGGGCCTGTTGAGCCCAACAGAAAGAAACATTGGAACGAAGTATTCCTGCCTGGTTGGATAAGTGAACCATCTGAATCTGCGCTGTACTCCATACCTGCATCAGACACCCAGCAAGTTAGTAAAAGAAAGAGAAAAGTATATATCAAGAGAGACAAACACATTGCCAAAAGTTCGATCCAGGGGGCCAGACAGCACATCAAAAAAAAAAAAAAAAAAAAACAAGTTCATTCTAGTTTGATCTATTGTTGATTGTATGCAGCACCTTCTACCGTTAAAAAAAAAAAAAAGAGGAAAAGGAAAGGTATAACTACTCCATTACCGCAAGTCAAGACCAAGTCTGTAAGTGCGATAGTACCTTGGTGTTACATGCTGCGCCTGCACACGCAGGCCATTTTCCAGGCCCTGAGCCCTTCAGCCAAAAAGCCTAGAATTCAGCCTGAAAACAGGGTCCTACAGTCCCTGTGTCGTTTCAAACTAAAAATGGCAAGAGCCTTTTTAGCCTGAAACAAAGGGCTATTTTCGGTCGTTCACCAGAACGACCGGCCCTGAAACTCAGGCACC